TGCTACTCTTTGATAAATCAAGTCATTAGTGAGACAACTGGCAGAATGTAAATAGTGTAAAACCTAATGTCCCTACTCATGTATGTTCTAATGCCAGCTACGCAGAAGAAAAGATACAAGGCCCTAATAGTGGAATTTCAGGCATTGTGGCAGGCTGTTGGAAACTTAAAAAAAAAAAAAAAGGTAACTTAGCGGCGTTGAAAAAGAAACAAATAGAAATTCTAGAACTGACTGGATAATGGTGATGGTTGCACAACATTGTGAATGTACTTAAAGGCACTAATTTGTATGCTTAAAAATGGGTAAAATGGTAAATTTTGTTATATATATTTTACCATACAAAAAAGTTACCAAGGCCCCCCTGTGGCCGAGTGGTCAAGTTCTCGCGCTCCGCTTGGGCGGCCCAGGGTTTCACCAGTTCGGATCCCGGGCACGGACATGGCACAGTTCATCAGACCACGCTGAGGCAGTGTCCCACATAGCACAACCTGAGGGACCCACAACTAGAATCTACAACTATGTACTAGGGGGCTTTAGGGAGAAGAAGAAGAAGAAAAAAAGGAGGATTGGCAACAGATGTTAGCTCAGGTGCCAGTCTTTAAAACAAAAAAATCCCAAAAAATTGTATTGCAAGGAGACTTTAGTAGAAAATCTACAATAAATCCTGTATTTCCCTTAAAAAAATTAAAGCTCCTTTTAAACTCAGTTGTTCAAATTGGTTAATAAGTACATTTTGTGAATTAGCCTCCCTGATTTTGCCATGTCTTATGACTTCACACAGTGAACGAACATGTGTTTTTTAAATGCAGAGGTTTATATTTCAGGTGAATAAAGATAGCTCCTGTAATAAAACCCAGAAAATCCTTATCTTTTTCATTGGATGAAAGGAAAATATGACCAGGAAATCTGTCCCTTTTGGCAGAAAACAGAGCTTGAGGTATTTGTCTCAGTTGAATATTTGACTTCAAGTGCTTGGTGAATTATACGACGTCTTACGTTCAGAGTCTTTGTAAAGTCAGCACATTGCACATAGGAGAACTCATTGCACATTGCACATGGCACAGAACTCGAATAATCAAAGTGCTTCTAGGTTCAAGAAGATTGTCCTCAATTTTCCTTTGACTAGAGCAGATTCCCTCCCGAAGGGAGGTTTAGATTACTGTTTTCACCTTCCTACTTGGTTATAAGTTCCTGAAGGACAGGGACTGCTCATTTACAACATTTACAATTTTTCTACCACCACCCGCCCTACCCCAATAAAAAATATTTAAATATTTTGTTTGCCCGGAGTGAAGGAAAGTAGTGCCATGGTTCTTAGAAAGTGTGTCTTGCCTTAAATCTACGGTCCCACAGGCTCCGTGAGTCTTCTCCAGCTTTAATCCATTAACGAGTATGATTTAGGCACTTCCTGTGTGTGAGGGGCCATGAGGAAGGTACTAGAGAAAGAAGGAAAGAAAGCGTCTGCTGTGTGGGATTTCCCACTCCAGTGGGGCGGTGGGTAGCCTGATCTGCCCTAGGGCTTTGCACACACTAGGCATTTAATCAATTTAACTCAAAGGAGAAAAAAGTAAATGATAGAAGACGTCATACAAGTGTGGGATCTGATTGACATAAGCGTAGGGAGAAAATGCTATTCTTTGGATAAAGGTAGATGGCGGAAACCTTTACTTCTAGGTATTAAATAGTCATCCACTTAAACTGCCAGCATTGACTATTTTAAGGAGTTAGGACAGTACGACAACCTATATAGGTTCCACGAGCACAGAAAGCAGGGCTTCTAAGTTAGAAAGGTAATGGTGGGATTTGAGGGGCGAATCATCTAAATGAGGAGGTAGTATGCAAATTCTTTGCCTTTATTGGGCGTATTGCCTTTCAAATTACAATATTGGCCTAAACAATAAGTGAACCACGGAGTTTTAGAATTATTCAGAATTTAGGGTTAACTGTGCGTCCTCTTCTTTTACACAGACTAGCCAGATTCTGGGAGATCAGTTTAATTCAAAATAATTTTCTGAAGACCCAGTAACTCTGTCGAACCCTTAGATCTCGTTTAAGAACTAACGACTTAACTCATACTTGTAGCACTAGAATGGCTATTTACGTATACCATAAATACTAAATTTTATCTTAAGAATTAAGCTAACAATCTTGGATATTACTGATTTACTTGAATATACAATTTATTTTAAATTTTTATGCTTTTTTTGTAGATATAATGAAAATACATTCAATTAAAAAATCGGGAACTACACTACTTAGATCTTTAAACTGTATGGTCTAGGAAAAAAAATAAGCGATGGCCTCTTTTTTAAAAGTAGAAGTGAGGTAAATGCCTGTCAGCAGTGATAAGATTCAAAGAAGTCATCAGAGAACACCCAGCCACACATCTCGTGATGCGCCCCAGCCAGCATCTTTTTTGAGGGGGGAAAATTATTCCTTTTTGACTAGAACTCATCTTGCAGCTCCCCAACAGGGCTCTGATATGGCTCTCTCCCAGCTCCTGCCAAACCGCCAGGAGAAGAAAGGCAGCGTGTCCTTTGGAAAAAGAAGAGAGTATGCTTGGGTTTTAATGTCTAGAGGAGCTGGTCTGGGACTTGGGAGTTCCTGGTGGACCCCGCGGGAGCCCGGGAAGACCCAGGGTGCAAAGCTGTAGGCAGAGAGGAGGCCGGTGCCAGTGGCTGCAGGTGTTGACCATCTGGTCCGGGTCATCCCCTTTGATCCCATTACAAACGTGAGAAGGTGACGGTGGTCCCAACCTGCCCAGCTTCAGCGCAGAAATTGGGGTTGAAACCTGTTTCTTTTGGCTCCAAGACACACATCGCCTCCCGCTTAGCACTGGCTTTGGGATCAAGGGTTAACGTGAACAACCGAAGTTTAGAAAAGTGTGTGTCTGTGCTGGCCTCTTTGAGCTCCCGCCCTAAGGGTGTATGTTCACACACTTGTGATGAATAGTATGCACACCAGTTGGAGTGTCTCCTTCTCCTGCATGAAGGTCTTATTTCCTACTTAAAAATCTAATGGTCTGGAAAAGCAATGGTTTGACCTGGATGAAAACCTTAGGAACACTGAAGCCATTTAGACCATGTATTTGGCAGAAACTGACCAGAACTTAAGCTAATTTCACTTTTGATCTTTAAAAAGGCCAGCCCTGCAACCAAAAATCTAAGTGATGGTGTTATGACAGGGTAGTACCAATGGTAAATTTACTAGCGACAAACCACCTCACAGATTTTAAAAGCATAACTGATGTAAAATGGTCATCTAACACTTGGTTTCTTATGTGGTTTTGTTTTTGTTCTACTTTCAGAATCGGGTTTATGGAAAGTCAGCAATAACTATTTTAAATCTGGCTTGGCCATATTCTAATAGGATAAATATTTTAAGGGTTTAGCCTCAATGCTTAAACATTGCTGAAAACCAGTAAAGACTGTGTCATTTGCTTCTCAAGCTAAAAACTTGGGGTCTATGTCAAAAAAACCTTTTCTTAAGATAAGGACATTTATATTGTTGTTGAGCTTAGGAATGGATGGGGCTAACGAGTTGCTGAGGTGCCCTGCTCAGGCCTTGGCTAAGTTTTCTAGACTGGAAACGGAGGTGTGAGGCACCGGCTCTGAGAAACACAGCCAGCGCCAAGTGGCGGTTCTTGTCAGATAAAAACGAATGTGTTAGGCAAGCAAATTAAAACAGGTCAACTCTGGGCCCAAACTACCTGCAATGAGGCAAGTAAGTCCCTGAAATGAAGATTCCTGGGACTTTATTTTACATAATAGGACAATCCCTAAATGGGACAACCATGCCCTGGGGCTCATAGAGATGTCCAGGGTGACAAGCCAACGTTCGTTCTGGCTGCCTGCCAATTAGATTATGTCCCCTGCTCTAAATATTCCAGTGGCTCCCATCTGACTCCATCCTTCTCTGAGTTCAGGCCGGTTGGCCCTATGGCACCCTCTCTGGTGTCTCCTCTCTATCTCCTCTCCTTCCTCACTCATCCTCATTCTGCTCCAGTCACCCCAGACTCCGTGTGGTTCCTGAAACCGCCCGGCACAGCCTTCCTTGGAGTCCTTGGACTCCCTGTGACCTCTGCCTTATACTCTTTCCCCCGAAATCTGCATGGCTCGCTTCTTCGTCTCCTTCAGCAACTGGCTGAAATGTCACCTGGCTACCTTATTTAAAATAGCAACCCTTACCTCTAGCTACATAATGTGCGCACAGCTACTAAATGGCAACTGGGCTTCAAATCCACAGTCTATACCAAAACCCTAATCTTCTCAGCATTCCATGTTTCCATTTGTGACTCTTTTTTATTTTCTATTTTTTGTTGAGGAATATTTGCCTTGAGCTAACTTCTCTGCCAGTCTTCCTCTATTTTGTATGTGGGCCACCACTACAGCATGGCCACAAATGAGTGGTATAGGCCTGTGCCCGGGAACCAAACCCAGGCCACTGATGCGGAGCATGCCGAACCTAACCACTAGGCTATGGGGCTGGCCCTGACTCTTTTTTAAAGCTTATTCAAGATTTCTAAATGATAGTAGTATATGCGTGATTGCAGTGGTTCTTGAGGGTTTTTTCATTATTGTTCAGAAACTGCTCAGATGCTGCCTTACTTCGAAGTGCAGACACATGAAGCAGACACAGGCAGAGTTGCTGTGATCAAGGCCGAGTTGGGGGCCTGACCCCTGTCTCCTTGGCTTCCTGTCCTCTTGTCAGCCTCTGAGGTGGGATTCCCAGAACTGCTTCTGCCATGCTCAGCTTCAAATCGATTACCTAGGGCACATCCAGCCTAATGAATCTCCCCTAAAAGCTGCTCAGGCTTTGCCGTCAGCCTCCGGAGGGAGATTTGCCAGAAGGGCTTTTTCTATAGATCCCATTTTGACAGCAAATGACACTGAAGTTGTAAAAGAAACATTAGCAATCAAATGTAATAATTTTGAGGACCTTAGCTTCTGCATCTTAGGTGAATGTCAAGATATCTTTTCTTTTTTAAAATTATTTTTAAGGCATTGACTTTGCCATTCACAAGATAGCCAAGTTGCTGAAGCCACAGAAAGTGATCGAGCAAAATGGGGATTCTTTTACCATCCACACGTCCAGCAGCTTAAAGAACTACCTTGTTAAATTTACAGTTGGAGAAGAATTTGATGAAGACAACAAAGGCCTGGATAACGGAAAATGCAGGGTAAAAATGAAAGTCAGAACATAGGCTCCTCGTTGTGCAAGGTTAACTTGCATTCTACTTCGTAATAGTGGAGGATCCTGCCGGAGCAAACCAACATTGCCCCCCTCTCTCATGCAGAGCTTGGTCACCTGGGACAATGACACTCTCATCTGTGTCCAGAAGGGGGAAAAGAAGAACAGAGGCTGGACCCATTGGATTGAAGGGGACCAACTCCACCTGGTTCTCACCACATTTGGTTCTTATTTTTGATGACAAGAGACAATATTAAAGAAAATGTTGAACAGGAAACCATGACCAGTATTCCTACCATTTCAACCCGACGGTTTTTAATTGAGCTTGTTACCTTCTAGTCTCTGTCAGAGTATTCTGCCTTTTCATTTAATATAAAAACATGTTGCAGGTTTCTAAATAATTTTCATGTTGAATTCATCATGTATTAATTGAATATGTATAATAAGGTAGCAAACTGGCTACATAATATTCCATCAGGTTGATGGACTCTCATTTGGTAAAACATTTTCTGAAAAGTGTCCAGAAGGGGCTGACCCGTGACTGAGTGGTTAAGTTCCTGAGCTCCGCTTGGGTGGCCGGGGTTTCGCCGGTTCTGATCCTGGGTGCAGACATGGCACCGCTCATCAAGCCATGCTGAGGTGCCATCTCACATGCCACAGCTAGAAGGACCCACAATTATGTACCAGGGGGCTTTGGGGAGAAAAAGGAAAAAATAAAATCTTAAAAAAAAAAGCATCCAGGAGTATTGTTTCAGGGTGTTTTCTGCTATTGCTTAAATTCACGTGCATAGAGCATTTTGCACCCATGGATTTATTCCCTTAGGAAGAATTCACAGAGGGATCGCTGTACTCAGAGACATACACTCACTGCCTCTTGCTACTTTGTTACCTCGCTCACTTCCAAAGGCTGTGTAGGGGCTGGCCCAGTGGCACAGTGGTTAAGTGCGCACGTTCCGGTTTGGCAGCCCGGGGTTCGCCGGCTCAGATCCCAGGTACAGACATGGCACCACCTGGCAAGCCATGCTGTGGTAGGCATCCCACGTACAAAGCAGAGGAAGATGGGCATGGATGTTAGCTCAGGGCCAGCCTTCCTCAGCAAAAAGAGGAGGATTGGCAGCAGTTAGCTCAGGGCTAAAACTAAAAAAAAATAAATAAATAGAAAAGAAAAAGGGTGTATCAATTTCCTGTGCCAACAGCACTTCATGAACATACAAGTTATAGCTCAGCCTAGTCAATAATTTCTAAATATAACTTGGAAGGTATAAAATTGTACTTCAAGGCTTACTCATGGCTTTTGAAATTGAATTCTTTCCTGCCGTATAGAGTACGATGGCCTTCATTCTTTGAGTGATGGCTTTGTGCCCAATTACTGTGCTAAATCCTTTGAGTGCACAATCTCCCCAAGTCATCAGGACAGTCCTGTGAAAGGGACACAGTTTTTCCATTTACAAATGAAGACATTGAGATGTAGAAATGCCCCAAGGCCACGGAACCAAGCTGGTGGTGGTCTAGTGGTTAAGATCTGGTGCTCTCACCACTGTGGCCCAGGTCCTGGTCCCTGTTAGGGACCAACACCACCGTCCCTCAGTTGTCATACTGCGGTGGTTGTGTGTTGCTGTGATGCTGAAAGCTATGCTACCAGTATTTCAAATACCAGCAGCGTCACCCATGGTGGACAGGTTTCAGCAGAGCTTACAGACTAAGACAGACTAGGAAGAAGGACCTGGACACCCACTTTGGAAAAACTGGCCTTGAAAACCCTATGAATAGCAGTGAAGCATTGTCTGATACAGCACGAGAAGGTGAGAGGGTGGCACAAAAAGACCAGGCAGCGTTCTGCTGTGTTGTACACAGAGTCATCAGGAGCTGGTTCCGAATTGAAGGCACTAACAACAGTGAGGAGCTTCAGATCTAAGGCTTCAAATCACAAGAATGTGTGCTTTCAACTCTATGCCTTTTTTGCCTCGATATACATATGAAATCTAGCTGAGGTCCATGAAGACAAAAGTAGAGCGCTTTTAAGGCTGGGGCTGGGTGGTCTTTGATTACAAAGGCATTAAAGAAGTTTTGATTCTAGATTGACACACTTTCCTTACAATAAAAACAAAGTAAGAAACTTGCCATCACAAAAATGTAATATGGAAGTGCAAAGAAAATACAAATATGTTTGAGGATGCAGATTAGTTGGCTGTAAGAAGTAATATTCAAATTGCATGCATCGTGCTTCGGCACATCTAGGAACTCTGCTCCCGCAGTGTGGAAGGACGCTTGCTCTAAGAAGACTCATGGAACGATTCTTACATGCTGTGATATCATAAAAAAATAAATAGTTGGTCTTTGTTCTCGGTTCCTAAAACCCTTGAAATCTCCAGAGTACTGAGCGTCTTCCGTATGTTAATGAGATGACTTCTGACTGGGGGGGCCCCCAGATAGCTTCAGGATGGGGGCTGATCTCTAGACAGATGATCAAGGCACGATTAGACGGTTGGAAATTTCAGCCTGGCCTCCGACCTCTGGGGAGAGGAGAGAGGCTGGAGACTGAGTAATCACCAACAACCAATGCTTTCATCAATCATGCCTATGTAATGAACCTCCATAAAAACCCCTAAATGATAGGATTCAGAAAGCTTCCTGGTTGGTGAACACATTGAAGTGCTGGGAGGGTAGCGTCCTGCAGAGGGCAGGTAAGTAAAAAGCATTCTTGAGTTTTGTGAGCCATTCTAGGAAATCGTTGAACCTGAGGAGGGAGTCATGGGAACCTCCAATTTATAGCTGGTCAGTCAGAAGTGTAGATGGTCTGGGACTTGCAGTTGACATCTGAAGTGAGCCCTTAACCCATGGGATCTGCACTAACTCTGGGTTGTTAGTGTCAGAATTGAAATGAATTGTTGGACACCCAGTTGGTGTCAGAGTTGGAGAAGTGGGTTTGGAAAAGACAGCACATTTGGTGTCAGGAGGAAAAAACCCCACACGTTTGGTGTCAGAAGTACCGCAAATGTAGACCACATGCCCACATGCCCACTCATCTTCTTTCTTCTTCCCTTCCTCCTTTTCCCTTGGAAATGTTCTATGAAGGACAAGTGTGCAAACAGACGTTCCAGAGAGCCTGATCTGTATCCAACAACAGAGGCCACATGTGGATGCAGCTTAATGCCGAGTTATATTCCAGGATGAGCAGAGGTTAAATTGTCCTGGTTTGGTGATGGGGCCTTGTGGTCAGAGAGATGTCACACAGCCTGTACCAGAAGCCATTTGGAGTGTTGGAAAACTGCTCAGCTTCAATAAACCCATCTAATAACTCTGTTTTTTCCCTTCTAAATTTACATATCTCATTATTTTAAGAAATATTTGAAAGGCTTCTAGTTATACAGTGGACACACCAATGGACAAGATGTAATTCCTGTCTTCGAGGTCTAGTGAGGAAAATGGATGAAACAAGCAGTCTGAACAGTGCTGATAAGTACAGGCAGCTGTGAGAGCTCAAGAGGGGCAAACCTGACTTTTGGGGATGAACAAGTAGTGGCAGGGGTCTGGGGCAGTGGAGGTGATCTTTAAGCTAAGACCTGAAACATAGGTAAGCAGGACATCAGGAAGCATTCTAGGTGAAAGGCTGGAGGTAAGCTGGAGGGATATTTGAAGAACTGAAAAGATTGCTTTAGCTGGAGCATAGGGTTTATGTGGGCGGGTCGAAGTGGGGTTGGGAGAGATGACAGAGGAGACTGGAATAACATATGGGCCCTACCATGAAGAACCTTGAATGCCAATTAAAGAGGTAAGATTTTGTCCCCAGAGTAATAGGAAGATGCTGACGGGTATGAAGCAGGAGATCTGCACGACCAGGTTGGCTCATAGAAAGGATATCGACTGCAGAGGGAAGAAACAACTGTAGGTGGGAGACGCAACTTGAGGCAGTTTAGAGCCCTGGTAGAAATCACAAGTGTGAGATGATGTTGGTCAGGACCACGTGGAGCCCAGGTGTCAGGCACAAGAAAGGACTCTCAAGGCTGGAGAGAAATAGCCAATTATTTAGGAAGCAGAATCCATAGTCCAAGGTGATAGATGAGACGTAGGGACGATGGAAACAGAAGAATCAAGGAAAGTGTCCTGTTTTTGGTTCAGGCATCTGTAGGAAGGCTGAAGACAATCAGAAAGAAGGCAACAGAGGCAGATGAGGGAAGTGGAGTTCGAGCTTTAGATTTTGAGGTGCCTGTGCCCAGTGAGAGCCAGGCTGCCAGGAGACAATGGGTAGTTGGGTCTGGAGACATGGACAAGTTGTCAAATAAATACTACGCATATGGATGAGACTGGCCAGGACATTGTGTTTAAAGTGAGAACAGAAACCCAAGGTACGAAACCTGCAAAGAAAGTGTGGCCAGGGCTGGAGAAACAGGATGGCATCAGGGAAGCCGAGGAAAGGAAAACAATACCTCAGGGTCGAGGGACTGCTCAGCACTTGCTGAGATGCCCGAGTACCAATAAGGCAAGGTGGAGGGTTTTGCCACCTTGGTGAAGATGGTTCAGTGCCACAACTGGGGCTGAAGCAGCGTGAGGAGGGCCAGGGAACCAGCTGGAGGTGAGGGGATTCAGACAATGCGTGTCGGCTGAGAAGCGGAAGGAACATGCTGGTAGTTTCGGGGAGTCTCGAGAGGGAGCAGTTTGGCAAGAGGGTGGAACGATGGACCACAAGTCTATGCCTGAAAAGGAAAGTCAGGAAAGGGCTAATGTTCACTGAGCCCTCACGGTGCGCTGGGTTCTAAGCTGGGTTGTAGGGAGCCCACGGAACAGAGCAGAGGAAAGGTCTACACTTGCAAGTAGCTTACAGGCTGCTGTTGGTGGCAGAGTTCAATAGGAAGTTAAAGGCAGAATCAGACGTAACTTTTCCTCTAAGTAACAGAAACCAGCTTGTTGATTTGACCCTGAACGCAGTGACTTTAAAGTCAAATAAAGTCAGAAGGCAGTTGTGGATTCAATTAGATGTTGTGACCCCACCAAAGAGAAAGAATATGAAATTGTTTCAGGACAGAATCAGGCAGTAAGTGGACCAGCTGAGGTTGCAGGCCCCCATCTGATTTGAGAATTACATGGTGAGTAATCCCAATTGGGGGCTGTGATACCACCCCTTTTGGGAAATCTCTTTCTCCCTAACATAACAGCATTGCTTTGAGGCAATTTGAAATAGGCACTGGTGGGAAGGCAAAATTTTATCAGCATTTGTTAATTTATCCAAATACAAATGGCTTGCTGTCCCAAGGACTGTGCTAATTTCTGGAATTTAGCAGTGAACACAATGAAAATTCCTCCCCTCGCGTACCCTCCATTCCAATAGGAAGAGAAAGAAATACACAAGCTAAAAAGATAGCACATCAGAGCGCAGTAAATACTACCAGAAAAAACAGGGTACGGGGCTAGCGAGAGCAAGGAGAATGAGGAGTTACTGTGTGATGGGTACAGAGTGTCTGTGGGGGTGATGAAAGGGTTTTGGAACTAGATTTAAGTGGTGGTGGCACGATATCGTGAATGTACTAAATGCCACTGAATTACCCACTTTAAAATGATTCGTTTTGTTATGTGAATGTCACCTAAAAAAAAAGGTAGAGGAGTGGCTCACATCCTACAGAAAAGAAAAGCCACAGTGATGCTGATGCTGGGCCCTTAAATCTGTAATTTTAATAAGCAGCCCAGGCCCAGGGGATTTTGACGTAGGCCAAGGACCACAGTTTGGAAACTCCTGGGCCAGAACATTGGATAGAACAGCCACATAGGATAATTTGCTTGTCTCGATGGAGAGAAGAGAGACGGTGGTTCCAGATGCTAAAGTCCTCAGTAAATGGAGAGGCTGAACAGGGCGTCTGGAGCTGAGGAGAGCTGAGTCACATGATCTTTACAGTGGATGGGGGTTGTGGCATAATGGGCTGCTGATGATAATGGGGTGGCATTGGCGACTGAAGAGGAAGCTGACTCCACATTGTGGGAGAAAAAGGAGCCATCAGTGGTTTCAGGCTCAATTAAGATGAAGAGAGTATTCCCCAATGTATTAGTTTGCTATTGCCACCATAACAAAAATACCAGAGATTTGGTGGCTAAACAGCAGAAATTTATTTCATCACAGTTCTGGAGGCTGGGAGCCCAAGAGCAAGGTGTCAGCAGGTTTGGTTTCTCCTGAGGCCTCTCTCCTCCATTTGCAGGTGGCCTCCTTCTTGCTGCCTCCTCAATGTCTTTTTTCCATGTGCGCATCCCTGGCATCTCTTCCTCTTCTCATAAAGAGGCGGTCCTGTCAGATTAGGGCTCCACCCTTATGACCTCATTTAATCTTAGTTACTTAAAGGCCCCATCTCCAAATACGATCACGTCGAGAGTTAAAGCTTCGACATAGGAATTTGAGAGGAACACAGTTCAGTTCATAACACCTGAAAATGTGGAGGAATTTGTCAGCCATAGGGCAGGGGACCTAGGGGCACAATGGAAAGAACAGGTCAATAGGGCTCAAGGGCATTAGGCCTCGGCCTAACAAGTTATCTGTGGAAACAGTCAACTACTTTTAGGAGCCGAAGGAGGAAACCGAGTTGAGACAAACCATAGTTTCAGAGCTCCACGAGGACATCTGGGCAACTTCCTTCCCTCCCTCCCTCCCTGCTTTCCTCCTTCCTTACTTGTTTTCTCTTCTCTCTTTTCTTCCTCCTTCTTCTCACCTTATGTCTAGAAAATGTTTGTTATTTTTTATTATTATTTTGTGTGTGTGTGAGGAAGATTGGTTCTGAGCTAACGTCTCTGCCAATCTTCCTCTATTTTGGATGTGGACTCCACCACAGCGTGGCTTGATGAGCAGCGTGTATGTCCAAGCCGAGGACCGAACCCGCGAACCTGGCCACCTAAGCAGAGCGTGGGAGCTTAACCACTACACCAAGGGCCAGCTGGAAAATGCTTCTTTAAAAAACAGCTTCCGCATTTAAGCAGTCCGCAAAATCAAGGTGGGCAGTTGTTCTGGTTCGGATCTTCATCTTTTTACCCCTGCAGATATCTGTTTCTTCAGGTATATTAAAAAGTGTTGAGTGTTAGAGATGAAAAGGAAAGACTCAGCTTCCTAACTAAGACTCTTACTCTTTTCGCTCTCCGAGGAGAAGACTGGCCTACAGCTTCCTAGGGGGCTTATTTTGGCTCCAGTTATGAAGGGGTCAAGAAATGTGTCACCAGGAGGGAAGTTTTCATTTCAGTCAGGCACATCCATAGAGGGGAGGCCGCACCGGTTTTTCTGGCCGACTCTGGGAGCAGCTGCCACCTGCCCTCGGAGGAAGGGGCGTAGCAGGGTCGCGTGTCTCAGGAGCCGGATGTGTGGGACGGTGACTGCGCTTACGCTGTTTATTCCCCCAAGTTATTGCTGGGCCATGCCGCGCCCGTCTCGCTTGGAGCTGGCCGTCTGGGAGAACAGCAATGAACGAGATAAAGAGAATTAAATCGGGGTCTCCGGACGCGGTTCTGCCGGCCTGGGAAGCAGAGGAGGGCTTCTGGAAGAAAAGGAGCTTTCCAAGGAATGGCGCGCGCTGCAGAGCTGGCACCGGCCGGTTCCCGAGAATTCCGCGCGAGCCACACACGGGGAAAGGGCCACAGAACAGCCAAGGAGAGGGGCCACCCAGAGATTTTCAATTAAGGGGGGTTGGGGCGGGGGTGACCCGTCTTAGGTAGCTCGGGGTGCCGCGGTGGAGCAGGGAGGACCCGATGCGCCCCCTTCTGGACGAGCCGCACATCCTCCTCTCCCAGGATCCTCTGGAGAAGGAGCAAGGGTCCTTGCTCTTTTTTTTTTTCCTTAATTTTTAGATTTAGGTTTTTAAAAAAATTATGGTAATAACAAAAAAAAATTATCGTTTTAACTATTTTTAAGAGTATAGTTCATTTGCAGTAAACACATTCACAGTGCTGTGCAACCATCACGTCCACCCATCTGCAGAAATTTTTCATCTTCCCAAACTGAAACTCTGTCCCGGTTAAACAGCAGCTCCTCATTCCCTGCTTCCCCAGCCGCTGGCAGCCACCATTCCGCTCTGCGACTCCATAAATCTGACTACTCATGAGTGGAAGCGATAATACTTGTCCTTTGTGTCTGGCTTATTTTACGGATCTAAAGTCTTCAAGGTTCATCCATGTTGTAGCATGTGTCAGAATTTCTTTCCTTTTAAAGGCTGAATAATATTTGATTATATTGTAAGGATGCACCACATTTTGTGTAACCATTCATCCCTTGACAGACATTTGGAGTGTTTCCACCATTTGGCAATTGTGAATAATGCTCCTCTGAACGAGGGTGTA